ATATTTGAAATCGTTGCTATGATAGTATAGGCGGTGTTAAAAACTGAACAAGAATTGTATCAATGCTTAAAAAAAATAGCACCATCAAAGGTAGGGTAACATAAACCCAAACCAAAAATCCAGGATCGCCATTTCCGGACAATCTCTTTAATTGAAGTTTTGATTTAGATATTAATGATTTTTGTTGATCTAAACCAATCTCTGATAAATGGCCTGTATTTTTTAGCCAATCAATGTTTGATTTAATTAGAGATTCATTATTTAAACTTGGGCATGTCGATAATACAACCGTCAATGATTTTGTATTTGTTAAATCTAATAAAGCGCGATTTTTTTTATCGCTATCAGGATTGAATGTCATTCTATTAAAATGCTCAGTCAATAATGAACAAACATTTTCATCATAGGAATTTTCTTCAACATCAGTCCATAATTTTTCCAGCCATTTCGGTAATTCTTGCCTAGAAAATTTCATCCCTGATTCCTCAAGTTTATCCAAATATTGTTCCCACGTTATTGTTGAATTTGGATTGCTTACATGGAATACTTGTATTCTGAATGCTGTCCCAGACGACACCAAATCCATAATAGCTTTTGCGGCAACATCTACAGGAATCCAATCAAGATTTGCATCAAACGTCGGCATTCGACCAGATAAACCAACAATTCCTAAAAGCATTGGAACCCATTCATTCGGATTCCATACACCAGTTTCAGTGTGAGAAGTAATCTGGCCTACCCTAATAATACTAACCCGTTCTAATTGTAAGTAATCAAATGTATTTGTGATAATTGTTTCGATGGCTAATTTCGAAAGTCCAAATCCATCACAAGTAGTAATAGAAGCTTTCAAAGGTAATATGCCTTCAGGCACATTTTCCCAAGAACTATTAACACAGGCATCAATACTTGATATAAAATGAAAATCTTTTTGAGCACTAAAAAGTAATAAATTCGCTGTTCCAAGAATAGTCGAACTTTCATAAGCGGTTAATGGCATGCCAGGTTTTGCGCAAAAAGTGCCATGTATTATTGTAGTGACATCATTTAACATAACCTCATATTGATTCTCAGATAAGCCCAGGTAAGGTTCAGATAAATTAGCACTGAGGGCGATCAATCTGTCAGAATCAACCAAAGAGGTGTCCAGATCATTACGTAAGAAAGCACGTTTGAGAGATGCTTTAGGCGTTCTAATCTTTTTTTTTCTAACCAAACAATAAATCTTGCATGACGTTAGAGTCAATAAGGTGTATAAAATATGTGTACCAAGAAATCCAGTTGCAGTCAAAAGAAAAACTTTCTTTGTTTGTGGAGCAACTATCGAGGATTGAGTATAACTATCTCGAATGTAAAGAGTATATTTATCTACAATATCTTCTAAAGAGTGTTGTAGTTGGTCTATTCGAACCTCTTTACCATTCTCTTCTAAATGTTTACTTCCATCTACAATGTCCATGATAAACTTTACGATTGAATCTATATTTGGGTGATCAGTAATGAATGATGTTGTTATTTCAACACCTGCCGGAAGAATGTTGTCGATCTTTTTCATAAATATCAAGCTTTCTGACTCGTTCATTCCAGCTTTAAACAACGATAAAGAATGATCTTCCAAATCTTTCAATGGAACACCCATAATCATCGCAGCAGTATATTGCAAATAATTTCGAACGTCTACTCCATTTAATACTGACTTGTCATCATTTTTCTGTTCGTATGTATGAGATGTTTTCGAACTATCATTTTCTACATTAGAACTTAATGCCTCGGTAGCGATCTCAGTGGCATCCACGTTGGTATTGTCGTGTTCTGCCAAAGCGACCGTAGTACTTGGTAGTTGCTCTCGTGTAGTTTCGTCCAGTTGTTTAGAAGGTATTTCCACTGTTTCATTTTCTAGAATCGTATCTTGAGAATGGTGTTGTTGATTAGATGTGTCCGTATCCATCCCTATTTATTTATTTTTAAAAAATTAAATATTTAGGTTATAATTCTTAAATTATCCATCAATTACCTTTCTTTATGAAGAAATTATAAAAGACCGCGAACGGTAGTGTATCTCAGTATTTGTATGTGATGATCTTTACAATTGAAGTGAAGACGTTAAGAAATGCGAAAAGTTTAAATAAAAGTACTATCTGTTTTATAATGAGAGAAAATATGAATTCTCATAGAGGAATGGGAAAAAAAAGGGTTAGTCGAAGAAGAATTAAAAGGAATGTCGAATAATATTTACAATCGCCACGAGTGATAATTCCAAGTGAGACGCATTGAAAAGGATATTGGATATTAACGTGGTAACAATTATTTCTATTCTCTCAAATAATTATAATTTTTTTAAATACTTTTTTTTAATGTTCATTTTTGTAATATATTCCCGTTTTCCTATTTAAAAAAGTATTTTATATTATATTTATAATTATATACAAGGAATTTAACTTTATTGGTATAAAATAATTGGACGCCACATATCCAATAACATTATTTCACGCATTAGGTTTCTAATCTTGATACAATTTGAATAAATAAACTTTTTGAAGTTAAATTTGTTCTTGTTTTTTTTTTGTTTTATCGTGAATTATTTTTTGTATTTCTAATTAAAGTTTAGAGCTTGATTTTTTATATATAGTTGTTATTAAATTATCAAAATTGGTCTAGTATAAAAATATTAAAAATACTAAGTATTGGTTTAAATAAATTAGGTAAACTAGTTAAGACTAGTTTGAACTAGTTAAATTATAAAACTATATTTGTATAAAAATTTAAGTTTATATATTTAACTAATTTGAAAAATACCAATATAACTAGAGTTATACAGTACAGTATATATTTTTATAATATATATTTAATACCGTATACTATTTAATAAAATTATCTACTTTGTATAATAGCAAATCTGCTTATTTTTATATTTATATTTTTAATTTCAAAATATTTTAAAAACTAAAACAATTTAGGAAAATTTTATTACTCACCGGAGGTAAATTTCACCGGATCATGTGATTACATTATACATGATATAACTACTAATAAATTAAGTGCAATACAGTCAACCTAATATATAGATATAACAAATCATAAGTGTAAATGCTTCGCTCAATTGTATTGAAACAACAATGTTAATACTTTAATACCCTAACCCTAAATATTAGAACAGGTAATAATGTATATATAATTAACATATTAAAAAAGTTGATGCTACGCTTCAGCTGTCGCCTCCGCTTCACTCAATTAGACTAAACAAATACTTTTATAATTGATACCCTAACCCTAAACTTTAAAAGAGTAATATATATAGCTGATATGTTAAATTAATTCTATTATTATTGTCTATTAAAAGTATCAATGTTATCTATTTTGTTACATTAGTTACATTAACAAATGGGCATTTCTTCTGATAATGGCCAGGCTTTTTGCATAATAAACACTTGCATTGCTGTTTTGAGCTTGTTTCGCTATTATCAGCTTCTTGAACAATATTCGTAACTTCATTTAATGCTTTTCTTTTTGATATTTCTATAACAGCTTTAATTCTTTTCTTGCAAGAAGTATCACAGATTCTAGTAACTTGAAGACTAGTTATTTGATCGATTAAATGCTGTTGTAATGGAATTACTTCGCTAGTTTTCTGATCTTGGTTAGAATTATTATTCTCTACACTATTAATTTCTTTAGTTTCTTCAGTTTCTTTAGTATTATGTTCCTTTTGATTTGCTGTGATAAAATCTTTCAGTAGTTGAACTAATTCAGCATCTTTATTGGTTTCTAAAGCAACATTAATAGCAACCTTGGCAGTTGAAAAGGCAATTCTATATCGATTTCTCTGTGAAATATATTTGTGATCAACTTTATTACAATCAGGTTTATCAAAACCAGATATACTTTGAAAAACAAAGTTCACTTGAAAAGAACTATTGGGAGTTAATTCTAATACAACAAGAACGAGGAAACTTTTAATATTAAAATCTAATTTAGTGTGAATACTATCTTTATACTATCTGACGGGTATCATGCTTATATGAAATCTTGTGAAATGTAAATAAAGCATAACACGCCAAAAATGCTGACAAATTATGCCTTTTGTAATAGTTTCTATACAAGTACAAATATGAGTTCTATCAACAAATAGTATTACCAAATTCTCTTTACGTAAAAGGTCATCTATACGATAAATCCTTCAAGTTTTAATTATATTTTTAGCTTCCATACTACTCAATAAAGATTGCAAAGTTGCTTGTGGTTTATCCAATACATCCTCTATGAAATTGTCATTAATAGTTTCTGATTCTGAAATCTATAAAATAAATATAGCATTGTAGTATATTATATGCATATAATTATCGCTCTTTAAATATACTAAATAAATAATAAAATCATCTTACCTCAATAGGAAAGGAAACTAATGAACCTTCATAAGTAAATGATTAGAATATTTGAAATCGTTGCTATGATAGTATAGGCGGTGTTAAAAACTGAACAAGAATTGTATCAATGCTTAAAAAAAATTTAGATGATATATATGAAAGACTAATGATCATATATTGGTCCTTAAGATCGATTATCTTACAATACTGAGATTTATCTTCATGTCTTTTATTAATTATTTTTTCAATATCACAAAGTGTACTAGCACTATTTAAAGCCTTTTTTATAATACTATTAAATGACTTTATACTTTGAGTACTTTGTATACCTGCATTAAACTGAAATAATGTAAAAGCTCTAGCCTAATATATTCGATTATTGTATAATGCTCTAGTCATATAATTATAGTATTCTGAAAATGATTTTAACATATCTTTCTATCGCTGATTAAATTACTCTATATTTAATGCATTTCTACACAAATAAAATGCCTAGCTAAAGGAGTAAAATTTTGAATCTAACTTCACTTTAAGGTGTTTAATAATGTTATGCTGAATATGAAAAATACAATAAAAGTGATTTGTCTCTTGAAAAACCTGAGAAACTGCATTTATTAACCCTAGTTCAGAATCTGTTCAAATTGATTTTGGAACAAGATTATCAGTCATCATCATTAAACGTTGCAAAATCCATTTATATATTGATGCTAATTCATCTTCTACTAATGTATTCATCATATTTCTAAACCTTCTAGAATTATCTCTTATCATAAATACACTTAAATACATATTATACTTATTAGTTTTACACGTATTATCATTTAAAACAACGTTATGAAATTGCTGGTACAAATTTTGCTGTGTTGGAGATATCCAAAAAACACCTAACAGGTGATATTCATTACTACTATGCTGAACAAATACCTTCTAATCTGTGTCTTGTATTTTTTTTTTAAGAAGAGTATTAAAGAATAAGCCAGAATTAGAATTTATTTTATTGCTATTATTACAATTTTTATAAATCATATTATAAATATCTTGCTTATAAAAAACATGGTCTGAATACTTTTTCTTAAGTATCTCTAACT